CAGGAATGCATCGTCTTTCCCTCTTCCCCGTCAGCCGCTTCCTGCGCTGGGCCAAACCATGGCCCGCTACCTGCGTTCGCTGGAGCCCCTGGTGAGCCTTGAGGAGCTGGAGCAGACGCAGGAACTGGTGACGGAGTTCGAGGCCCCAGGCGGAGAAGGGGAGAGGCTGCAGGCCCGGCTGGAGCGCAGGGCGGCACGCATGGAGAACTGGGTGAGGCAGCGGCTCTGGGGAAGCTGCAAAGAGGAAGATAACAGGGAGAAATAAGCCACCTATTCCATCCCCAGTCTTGTGAAGGCCATGCCTGTGCAGTGCGTTGTCACAGAACTGTGTCTTGGAGACAGTGCTGATACAAAACAAGTTGCTAGTAATAATAATAATAATAATAATAATAATAATAATAATAATAATCTTTATTGATATCCTGCCATAATTTCCCAAAAGGGTTCCGGAGTGGCTTACAAGGCACTACAAGCAAAGTATATTGTGAGGGTTGGTAAATGTGAATAAGCAGAAGCTTTACCATAGTATTTAAACCAAGATATACCCCGCAGTATAATAAAATGTCACTCAGGCTTGGGAAACAAGTAACAATATTTTTACTTTAGTTCAAAGGTTCGAACAGGGTAACAATATATACATCAGTCTCTTTGAATTCAGGCAGAGATCAGAGGAATAAAATAATCCCTTTAAATAGTCTTTAAAATAAGATTCATGCCATAAAATGATCAGTCTTCAAGACTGATCAGTCTTCAGTCTTCAAGATAGTTGGCAGCCAGCACTATCTCTTCACTGTCCAAAGTGGGAAAATAGCAACACCTGCACGAGGCCATAGCTACACCTCTTTGGTCCTGCTGCCTGACATCAGCAGGGTACCTCCATGGCCCCACAGCCTCTCAGTGAGTGTACTTCAGTGGCCTAACTGCCTGCTGCTGGCCATAGTAACACCTGTATGGGCCATAGCAACACCTCTTTGGCCCTGCTGCCTTACAACTCCTGGGCAAGGCACCTCCATGGCCCCACAGCCTTGGGGTGAGAGTACTTCAGCGGCCTAGCTGCCTGGACATAGCAACACCTACTGTGTCTTAATTGTATTGCGTTAAGACCAGAATGAAGTCCAAAGAAAATAGCGCACAAATCTGAAACAATTATAAATTGTAAGTCGCTCTGAGTTCCCTTTGGGGTGAGAAGAGCGACATATAAATGTAATAAATAAATAAATAAAATGGCAAAATGACAGTTAGAACCGTTGGTCTCAGCAGCTAGCCAGAGGCAGCAGCCAGCCAGACTCTGACTCCTGGCACACTCAGACAATTGGCAGAGAAAACTGTAAAACTACATCCTTCAGGATTCCATACAGTTGAGCTAGGCCTGGGTAACAACGGAAAAATTTGTTTCTAAAATCGATTCGTTTTTTGGGGGTTTTTTGCGTTTCGATATTTAAAAGAATTCCGAAATTTTCCTTTAAAAAAGTTCGATATTTACGAAATTTCGTAAATGGTAAAAAATTACAAAACAATAACGAAACAATAACGAATCGATTCGTTAATGGCGGCCGCGATCGCGCAATACGCTAAAAAAACTTCTGAAGCTTCCCTCTCCCTCTGTTGTTGACTGTTGGTGTGATATTATAATTTTTTTTCACTAATTAAACAAAAAACAACTATAAAACTTGCCCCAGACATGCGGAAATAATAACGAAACGACCTCAAACCAATAACGAAACGAATACATAACGAAATACGAAGCATTTACGAAACGAATTGAAAAATTCGTTTCGTTTTTAAGTTGCTCCAGAATGGTTCGTTATCGCTTCGTTAACAAAAAAAAAACAACGAATTTTTAATGAATTACGAATTAACGAAACGAAACCGCCCAGCCCTAAGTTGAGCCACGACACATAATTTCAACAATAACACAATGTAACATGTTTTTTGTTCCTGGGTTATAAATGCCATTTCCTAATTGGTTCTATCATAAAAATATGTAAAAAGTTTATTAAACTGCAAAAACTTTGTTTTTGCAGGACATCCTGCAGCACATTTGCTATAGTTTTCAATTACTATCTCATCGAGTCTTGATCAAAATCAAAGCCCTTTGTGGCAACCATAAAAACAAAATTTCTGGAGTAGAACAACCGCTTTCAAAGTAAATACTGCACAATTTAAACAGGAAATAACACTTTCAAACCAGGAACAGAACATTTTTCAAATTTTGTTACAAAGTATAATTTGTTACTCCTTTTTCTCATGACACAACACAATAAAATACATCAAGATAAAATGCATATAGATGTGTGAGAGAGAGACATCACTATAAAATACATATATTAAAGCATATGGTACAGAGATTAAAATACAGTAGTCACAGAGTGTAAATTTAAAATTGATGGTTTAAATTTGACTGGTAGATCTCCCTGAAATTATTGTCTTTACTTGTGTTTACATTCTGACAAGTCATTTAACATAGTGTCAAACAGTGCTTATTCTACAGACCTGGACAATAGGAAGTGTGGAAGTGGAAGTCCAAAACACCTGGAGGGCCGAAGTTTGCCCATGCCTGGTGTAGATGCGTCTTGTGCCATAAAGGCTGCAAATTTGACTTGGGATCTCTTACGATCTTTAAAGGCACAGACTTGAGATGTTGAAATGTCCCCCTGAAATAGGTTCAGCACCTCAATTGGATCCTTCAAAGTTCAGACTTTGAAGGACAGCAGACTCTCATCCAATTTGCATTGAACTACTGTGTTTTGTACTTTAAATTGGGTTGTTGTGGGTTTTTCCGGGCTATATGGCCATGTTCTAGAGGCATTCTCTCCTGACGTTTCGCCTGCATCTATGGCAAGCATCCTCAGAGGTAGGAGTGATCCTCACTACCTCTGAGGATGCTTGCCATAGATGCAGGCGAAACGTCAGGAGAAATGCCTCTAGAACATGGCTCTATAGCCCGGAAAAACCCACAAGAACCTAAACTGTAGTGGGTTTGCTGCCCTACTGAGAAAAGAATCACTAACTATTACTAAGGCAAAGGAATACTGCAAAGTTCTGGCTAACGGGTGTTATCCATGATTTCTTCAGCACCGAAGTGGGAATCACATAGCTCATGGGGAATTTTAAGAAACTAGAGATTTGTCTAACTTTCTTTCACTGGGATTCTCAGAACCCTTCTGGATCACAACTCCCAGTTTCCCTAGTCAATATAGTTTATGGCGAGAGAAACAGGGAATCGCAATTCAAGGCTGCATGAGTCTCATGAGAAGGAGAAAAGTGGAGGTTGATAGGCCACTTGTACCTCCTCAGCCTTGTTTTGAAAAGATGTCACATTGAGGAGGGAGCAAGCTTGTGTTCAGCTGCCTCCAAGACTAGGACAGGAGTGATGGGTCCTCCTGATGGTCTTAACTTTCTCTATTTTGTCCCAGATCACAGATTGGTGGGTCCAGTCGGCCTATCTGGAAAGCCGCCTGCCCCTGGCTGTCCATTCGAGTCCAGCGGTTGTGCTCCCAAAGCAGGATTTCAATGACTGGAGAGGACAGCTGAGGTAAGGAGCAGAGCAGGAGGGTAAGATGCATGGGGCGGGTTTGTGGAAACCATTGGCATGGATCCAGAGAGAGAATTAGGGACTTGGGAAAGTGCTGGCAGAGAACATGTTCCGGTCCAATTATTCTCCATTGTTCCCAGACTAAGGAAAACGCTTCCTATTCCTCCTCCTGGATCAAGATGCACAGGCTATTGGATGTCTTAAGTTTTATTTTCCCATAGCATCCTCTTTCCAGTGAGCTCTTTGCCCTTCCAAGGTTTTGTCTTAGGTGCATCTATACCAGTGGCCAGCAACTCTCAGAAATCCCAGTCAGTTTACCGGCTGGTGGGATTTCTGGGAGTTGAAAGCCAAAACATCTGGGGACCCACAGTTGAGAACCACTGATCCATACTCTAGAGCAGTGGTTCTCAACCTGGGGTCCCCAGATGTTTTTGGTCTTCAATTCCCAGAAATCCTAACAGCTGGTAAACTGCTGGGATTTCTGGGAGTTTTAGGCCAAAACACATCTGGGGACCCAAGGTTGGTATTCCCTGTAGTCACCTACGGATGTGAGAGCTGGACCTTAGGTAAGGCTGAGCGAAGGAAGATCGATGCTTTTGAGCTGTGGTGCTGGAGGAAAGTTCTGAGAGTGCCTTGGACTGCGAGAAGATCCAACCAGTCCATCCTCCAGGAATTAAAGCCCGACTGCTCATTGGAGGGAAGGATACTAGAGACAAAGTTGAAGTACTTTGGCCACATCATGAGGAGACAGCAAAGCCTAGAGAAGACAATTATGCTGGGGAAAGTGGAAGGCAAAAGGAAGAAGGGCCGACCAAGGGCAAGATGGATGGATGGCATCCTTGAAGTGACTGGACTGACCTTGAAGGAGCTGGGGGTGGTGACGGCCGACAGGGAGCTCTGGCGTGGGCTGGTCTATGAGGTCACGAAGAGTCGGAGACGACTGAACAAATGAACAACAACAATATAAGGCAAACATTCAATCCCTATTTACTCTGTGAACAATGACACACAATACACAGACTAAGGTAAAGGCCTTCCCTTTTCCATCTCCAGCATCTGAAGGCTGTGCTCAACTTTGGCCATGGGGAGGTGCACTTGTTCCATTTTTCCATGCTGAGGAGCCTGTTGATCATAGACCTTCTCTGATTGTTGCCGATATGTCTGCATAGGGCGCCCTTTTACCTCCCCACTGAGGCAGTACCTATTGATCTACTCGCATTTTATGCTTTCAGACTGCTAGGCAGACGCTAGGGCTGACAGCAGGAGCTCACCCTGAATCGCGGCTTCAAACTGCTAACTCTCCGGTCAGCAGATTTCCTGCAGCTAGCACTTTTAACACCACATTTAATGCAGTTTGGCACCACATTTACGGCCAGGACTCAGTGCTATGGAATAATAGGAGCTCTAGTTTTACATGGTCTTGATTATTTATTTATTTATTTGCAGTATTGTATACCGCCCTTCTGAACCGCGAAGGGGACTCAGGGTGGTTCACAGTGTTGGCAACAATTCAATGCCATCGATAAAAACCACTATAAACATCAAAATTGATCCTCTCTTGATAAAACATTAAACAGTATTAAACACAGCACATAAAATCACATATCACACAAAGACATAGCCGTTGTCCGTAAACAGTCCTGGGTCATTGCACTTTCAACTTTCACTTTAAATATTCCTATGATGGGCTGAATGCTTGGTCTTGAGCCACATCTGTCAGAGTACTTGAGTCTCCCAATGCTATAACTTCCATGACAATTAAAGGGATGTCAAACAGCATTAATTCTACACAACAGGTGCACTTTTAATCCTCGCCTGCATCTGCCCAGCCACCCAAATGAGTAACGTTGTGTTCAGAGTAGCTTATGCAAACTCACAACTAGCTAAACATGATGTATAAAAGGAGGATAATTATAGTTCGCTTGGATGCCAGGTGACATCAGGATCCGTGTGGAGAGCAAACCTGTTCCTGGCAGCAGATCAAAGTGGACTAAGTGACCCAACCAGTACCCATAACTAGCTCTCTTGTGTAAAAGAACCTTCATCGGGGGTATAGCTCAGCGGTAGAGCATTTGACTGCAGATCAAGAGGTCCCTGGTTCAAGTCCGGGTGCCCCCTCTTTTTATTGTTTTGGCAGGATTTAAATGTAGTAAATAAATAAAAATAAAAATAAATTCTCCCAGTAATGGAACTCATATTTAGAAACAGTATAGATTATAATCTTGGTTTTTAAATATATATAATGTATTTGGAAACAATCAAATTTAGGTTTGTTTTTAGGCACTTTGTGCTATCTGTAAGCTGTCCCGAGTCCCTTTGGGGAGATGGTGGCGGGATATGAAAATAAAATTATTATTATTATTATTATTGTTATTATTATTACTATTATTATTATTATTATTATTATTGGGTTGTTGTAGGTCTTTTCGGGCTATATGGCCATGTTCTAGAGGCATTCTATCCTGATGTTTCGCCTGCATCTATGGCAAGCATCCTCAGAGGTAGTGAGGTCTGTCGGAACTAGGAAAATGGGTATATATATCTGTGGAATGATATTATATTATTATTATTATTATTATTATTATTATTATTATTATTATTATTATTTGAAACACAACAAGATGAGTCCACAGCAGATACTATGCTGACTGTAGAATTGCATCACAYRTCGGACACTTCCCAAGTGTCTAGGACTGTGTGATTTATYGGTGAATAATGCGTGCAGATCCCAGTAAGGTGGCCTTCTGCAGCTGGCAGATGGTAATTTTGTCAGCGCCGATTGTGTTTAAGTGCAGGCCARGGTCTTTAGGCACTGCACCCAGTGTRCCGATCACCACTGGGACCACCTTTACTGGCTTGTGCCAGAGTCTTTGCAGTTCCATCTTTAAATCCTCATATCATGTCAGCTTTTCCAATTGTTTCTCTGCAATCCTGCTGTCACCTGGGACTGCGACATAGACGATCCATACTTTGTTTTTTAACACAAAAAACAATAATAATAATTATTATTATTATTAATTGTTATTATTATTATTATTATTATTATTATTATTATTATTTAGGTAAAGGTAAACTTTTTCCCATGAGATTAAGTCCAGTCGTGTCAGATTCTGGGGCTAGGTGCTCATCTCAATTTCTAAGAGCCGGCATTGTCCATAGACACCTCCAAGGTCTTGTGGCCAGCATGATTGCATGGTGCGCCGCTATATATCTCTATCTATCTATCTATCTATCTATCTATCTATCTATCTATCTATCTAAATGTGGATTCAATTTCCATGTTTTAAGTTACTCACGGCCACCACTACCAAGAAAATGGAAATGTGTATGGGCATTTTTTGGTTCTCCAGTATGATTCTATGCACCAAACATCGACCTCCTGTTTCCATGCTAACATCTCTAGAGGAAGCAACAAGAGAAAATTTGGAAGTGGATCAATTCCCCCACCTTCCACAGCGTAGCAGAGGGATTCCTCTCATCAAGAATGTTGTTTCAGGCATCCAAAAGGGGTCTTAGAATATATCCTCCATGTATAAGGAGGTCTCATTGTATACAATGACCTTAAAAACAGCACTGCATCATATTAAAAGCTGACTGCAGTCAGTTTTTAGAGGAGCAGGTGAAGTTACAAAGCAACGTGAAGAAGGGCTGATATAAAGTTCTAGACATGAGTGATTTTCAGTATCTTATTTGTTGCTGTTGTGTACCTTTAAGGGGTTTCCAACTTATGAAGGCAACTAAGGCAAACCAATATCATGGTTTTCTTAGCAGGGTTTGTTCAGATTTGTTTTCCTTCCCGAGACTGAATGGGTTTCACAGTGATGAAAATTTGAGGATCAGGAAAAATATTTAGGAAGAAGTGGTATTCTTATTTGGAGGGGACCCAGTTGATTTTGCCTCCCCCAAGCTATGTTATCTGCTGGGGTTTGGTTCTAGGACACACATGTGTACACATATAAATACGGAATTCTGTGATGCTCAAGTCCAATTATATACAAATATATTGTTTGGGGGGGATTAGAATATTTTCAAAGCATGGATGGTTGAATCTGTAGCTATGGAAGACCACTTTTACACTTCACTTTTCTCTCCTGCCAGCTCTGCCTACTGCTGCCAGTGAAATTTTTATTTGCCTTGGAAAATATGGCTTTTCTCTTCCCTTCTTCTCTACTGGCAGGAATGGAGGTACTCTGCCTTGCCAATTTGCAAAGGTCTGTTGTTTAAGATGGCACCATAGAAGCCAACACAAGTGGTAGCACTTTCAGCAGTGTCAGTCAACTTATACTGGAAACCACAGACAACCCCTGAATGGTGTTTGGAGATGCCTCATAAGCCCTCATCCTGCATCATAATCCATCAATGGTGTAGAAGATACGTGGTTTGTACCTGCTAGGCTTGGTACAAATGTCGTGTAGGTTGTCCCTTACCAGAAGAAGTTGTTATAGAAAGGCTTCCTTGTAGGTATAATGTTGGAAAGCTGTGCCTCACAAACATAATGAATGGGAACTATGTGGCAAAACCAGTACCCATAATTTTATTTTAGGTTACAGTAGCTTATGTGCTGGGGGTATAGCTCAGCGGTAGAGCATTTGACTGCAGATCAAGAGGTCCCTGGTTCAACTCCGGGTGCCCCCTCTTTTTGGAGGAATTGAGTTGGATGTCTAGTCCTGTTTTTTCTTGAAACTCAAGTTGAGTAATTAATCTTCAGAAGAAAAATGATACCAGATTTTCACTCCATTTGAAATGTATCAAGTGTTCTTAACTTATACAATCACCTATCCATATTGGCTAAATGTAAGGATTCAGCCAATGGGAAAACTCTAGGTCAAAAAAGAGCATATATTTTACTCAAGACAACACTTCTCTCGAAATCTCTAGGTCCTCGGGGATGAGGGGTGAGGGATCTTAGTATTGTGCTAGAGGACCTAAAATGCCTAGAAAAATATTCTATCTAGGAATCTCTAAGTCCCCTTCTAGGATAAAGGTTTCCCCTTGACATT